TGACTCATTATACGTTGCGTGACTTTCCTCCACTAGCCTTATTTTTGTACAAGATTGAGTCTTTTCTTTTATTATGAACTTTTTAAATTCTAGGAGTGTCTTGTAGCAGAAATAAGATACGGGCATGAGTCTAAAGGCATTTAGCGCAGAAATTATGCGATAAGACCATAAGCTAATGCTCATGTCCCATATCTTAATTCTGCATTTCATATTGATGTACAAAATTAGGACCGGGCATGTATACGCGGAGTCCGATTACCTTTTTTTTAGATATGTTGCCAACTTAGTGACATCATCCTTTTCTATTATTTAAGATTGGCTTATTTTGTTCTGTGCCTTATTGCATGCTTTGATTATTTTTCTTATTTATATCTATATGTTTTCTAGAAATCAATATGCAATATAGGCTCATTAGGATTCAAAATCTGAATTTTTCTACAAAATCCTAATAAAAAATTTAAGATAATGAATTTTTAGGATTAAAATATTTAGGATTTTAAAAATTGGTCTTTTGCTTTTCTGCATGGCCTTCTTGTCGGATTTTAAATAGGCTACATTGCACGAGCTTAACCTCAGTTGTGCTAATAGAGCCTTCATAATATTTAAGGACCACTCTAGATAATTGAATTTATATTGCATTTTTTGAGGAGAAGCCCCCGTGTTTCTCCAATCCGACCAGCCCAGCATACATTTTATATCTGGGTGGTTGTCTAGTGCGTCTAGGGTGTTAGAAAGCTTGCCGACCTAGACACGGTGTAAGTCCTTTTATTTGAAGCATTTACATCTTTGTAGTTGAAACTCCTCTTCTCTCCTTCCTTGAAGCATCCTCACCACTTCGGTGGTACAAGTACCACCTCTTAGAACTACAGCTTATAGTCATAGGATAAAGTTTTGTTCCTTTGACCATAGGGCTACCGAGGTCCCTTATGGATGGTGTAATTCACGGATTACTGATCGGAGATCTTAGGATGTGTAGGGTCAACTACCTTCATATTCAGGTACACTTAGGGTCCTAACAGCTGTGTATGATGGATCTGTGGTACACCGACCTAGGTACTTCTACCTTTTAGGATTGCTCAACCTTTCTGTTGTTGAGCCTCATAAAGTCCTATCAATCGTTGACTTTGGTGATATCATTTTTACGGCCCAACGCAAATGAGCTGCCACCCATTTGGAATACAACGATTTGTCCTCTGCCCTTATGACTCATACGTGCTTTGACGTGTTGGGATATCCTCGTCGAGATGATTTTGGTTGTTTTGTAGGCTCTTTATGTCGCTGAGTCGCTGCCCATTCTGGATGTGATAGACTCACTCTCTGCCCAATGGTTTAATGTGAGCTTTGAGGCCTCATGACTTTCCCACACGGAATAACCTTCTTTGATGACCTATTGCTCTGATTCCTTACTTATATAAGTGAAACCCTTTTTATCGAGAGTATTCTTGAGTAACCCTAAGATGTAATTAATTAGTAGGAACACATTCCTTGGGAGTGCTCTTGACCTCAGAATAGGTACATACACCAGATTCTCTAGTTATGGGTAGTTTACATAGATACTTCTTCGAGAATATTAGTACAAGGTGCCTCCACCCAATCTTGGTTGGGCGGACATACTTGACCTTCTTTGTGAGGTTTATCTCATTTAGGCTCTCAAATTTTTTTGTTCTCTTGTTTGTCTCTTTGTCATATGTCCCTTCTTATTTGGTTCTTCTTCTCCTTGAATCAATTATCTGATTCAGGAAGGAGATTTATCGACTATGAGAAGTATCCGACGATCGACAAGTTGACGACTTCTTTTAAAATAAAAAAGAGAAAAAAGGATATGTCTCAGCGGTGAGCATAAGATGATCTAATTCCTCACAAATACAATTAAAAAGACACCGGGTCAAGAAAAATTCCATTATGAATTATATTAATTTAGTTATTTTAATTTTTTTTTTCAATCTAAGTTTATTATGACAATAAATGAATATTATCATAATCATGAGAAGTAGAGAAATTTCATTCTTTAATTCTTCTCTCAGTCCCTTATCAAAGAGAGAAGAGAATTATATAATTTAATGTGTACCCAAATATAATCGTATTTCTTATCAAGTCTTTTTCAGAGATACATTATGGAGATCAATAAGCCTTATGGGCTCCAGAGGCCCATATCAGAAGATTAAGTTATTTTTAAAGCAAGCGCACCTGCTAATTTGGTCTATCTGAGCCCACCTACCAAATTGGTTGAACTGAGCCCACATGCCAAAGTTGTTGAGAGCCCACTTGCCAAATTGGTAAAAAAACTAAGCTCACCTTTGTGAATGGTTAACCCGAGCCCACCTGGTACAAGTGGTCAAGCAAAGCCAATCTGCTGAAGTGGTGGACCTGAGCCCAACTTCAATAATGAGTGAGCTAACTCGATATGAACCATTGGAAAAGACCATTTACATATAAGAACATGTGTCAATTCTTAATTATAACGTTGTCTGACACCTACATCACAATCTTTTCACAAAGACATTGTGGACAGGTGTTGTACCATATAAAATATAGTTATATATATATATATTTAGCGCAGAAATTATG